CATTATATAAAGCAATTTATCAAAAAAATATGGTTTTTAAATTTTTTTATAAAACTAGTATGAACGTATTTCACAGTAACATTTTATGGTATATTTCATTTTAAGAAAACTGATGGTGTTAGATTGATATACGTTACTGTGAATTACGTTTTAGAAGTTTAAGCTTCAAAAAAAGGGAGATGGTAGGTGGAAAAATGGAGAAGAAGAAGAGGAGAGAATAAAATAAAAATTAGCTAAATTTAGTCTTTCACACTCTATCGTTGAGTATATCATACTCACTATGACATGTCAGCAAAAAGCGTCAAGATGACACAACATAACCCTACATGAGGTGTCTAAAATGAACATCACCAGTTGAAGTGCCTGAGTGCCGACTTTAGGGGCCACGAAGGGTTTGACCTTTATTTAACATTAACAAAGACTCGTATTTTTTTCCAATTCATGTGACCCACTTGAAATAAATTTATATAATTCACAAAATTTATTTCAAAATATTAATAATAAAAATAAAAAGTGAAAATAGCCTGAGATATTAAAAAGTAGAGCCGTCAATATGGACTAGGCTCGTTGGGCCAACCTGACCTAACCCGGGATTTAATAGGGTTGGGCTATGATTTTTGGAGCCCATTTCAGAAAAGGGCTTTTTAGCCCGGTCTGAATAAGCCTATTGATTTGATGGGCTTGAGAAATATAGGTAGGGTCAGCCCGTGGCCCAATAATAATTAATTAAAAAATATAATATAATATTAAAATTTAAAATTAAACAGAGTCCAAATTCAAAATAATTAAGTTAATATTTTTATTTATATATTTATACTTTTACTTGAAAAAAAACTTAATAAATAAATATAATTTCAGAAACATCCCTCCATGCTTCGCTCTATAATACTCACCTTCCCTGTGGGTTTACGATATTGCGTCTACCTCCCTTATTTTCATTTTCTTTTAACCATTCTTTAAACTTATTTAAATAAATATAAATTAATTTAGATTTGATAAATTTACCCTTATATATGAATGTTTAAATCTAATTTTCAATGATTTATCTTTATTCGTCGGATCATGTTTCTTCTTCGCTTGTGTAAATATTTAAGTAGAACAAAATCTTATCGTTCTTATCCAATTTCTTTGTTAGGAAGTTCAATTTTTTCTTCTATTTGAAGAAATTGTTGCCGGAAAATGATGGGTTATTGTGGGGATATTTTTTACGTGAATTGATAAAGGTGAAATAGAGATAATGAGTTAATATTTGGTGAAAATGTGGGTCAGCTTAGTTGAAGACTTTGATCTTTGTTAGATTAATAAAACATGTCTTTGTGTTAATTTAATTTTAAAATATTTGTTAAATGAGTTATTTTTTATATAATATTTATTTAGAACAAATTTATATAAAAAAAGAATAAAACTGTCAAATCTATATTAATTTATATTTATTTTAAATAGGTTTAAAGAATGGTTAAAAGTAAATAAAAATAAGGGAGGTAGACGTAATATCGTAAGTCAAACGAGATGTGAGTGTTATAGAGCGAAACATGGAGGTCTTTGAAATTCTCCCTATAAATATTATAAGAATAATTTTATTTTGATTTGATTAACAAGTACTAACATTAACTTCATGTAATGTTGTTTTGTCGATATTTATGATAATATTTTAAATTATAATTTAAAATTTAATTTAATAATTATAAAAAAAATAATTTTTTAAAAAAAGTGGACTGACCAGTCTAGCTTGTAGCCCACGTACTTGTGAGTTGGGCCGACCATTTTCTGGCCCACGCCAAAAATTGGCTAGCCCAGCTTGACCCTTAAAATGTCAAAGCCTGTATGGGTTAGCCCGAATTGGGTGGGCTAGCCCATATTCACAGCTCTATTAAAAAGTGTATAAATTTATAGATGTCAATGATTTAAAAAATAACGATTTAACGAGCAATTAAATTTTACCGAATCAATTATATGATTCTTGTTATAAAAATAAAATAAAAGACTTATATAAATTTATAATGGTGCTCAAATAACTAGGTAACATTTAAATTTTATAAAAATAAATCAAAAAAATTAAAGCATAATAAATATATATTAATGTATCAAGTTTGAATAAAAATATTTAGGGTTGAGAACGATAAAAATGGCTATAAGTCAACATGTATAATTTAAACCTAAATATCAACTCCAAATTATAACTTATTATGTTGCTCTTATATTGAAACTCGATTGATTAGTTCTTATAACATATAGAATAACTAGCTAGTTTGTTGTGTTTGTTTCAAGTGATATATACTATATAATTTAAATATTTCATTAGATTCAATATTAAGATAAAATATTTAAATTAATAGTTAATATAAATATAGTAAATATAGCAATTTTCAGCTTTCTTTTGACTTGAAGTTCTGAGCTAGTACTAAAAATAGATTATATTGTGGGGGTTAAACTTATAATTTGCGTTGGTTAAAGTTCTACTGTATTTTCTACTCTAAATTAACGTAAAAATATATTGTCATTGTTTTATCGAAAAAATGATTTCGAAGAGAGTTTGTTTTATTTTAAGGTATTTTCGACTTTTAGGAGTCGCCACTTAATTTTGAGAAAATTAAGAAAACTTTTGTTTTCAAAAGACTTAACAGAAAAAATCGATTGAAAACATTTCAAGGGGGGTTCGGGATTCCTATTCGCGTCTTAGGAAGGTTTTGAAAAAAGCACCTAAAACACTCCGCTAACTACGGTTTTCCGGCGATTAACTTATTTGACTATTTTTGTCTTAACCTTTGCGAATTGAAGTTTGAATTTTATCAGAATTTACTTAGCCAAATTCACAAGTTTAAATATTTGTTGTTTATCTTGTGTTTTTGCAAATCCGTTTCGAAGCTTAACTTTAGTTTTAATTTTTAAGTTTGATAAAATGAAAGGCGTCCAACGGGATTTAGATTCTTCTAACCCTAACTAACGACATTTAAGCGAACATATAAATGAATAATAAAAGGAGAGAGAGAGAGAGAGGGATTTTGGGTCCAAACTCGGGTTCTGTTCGCCTTAACCGAGTTTTGGACCTACCTGTTTTTGGGTTTTTAACCCATTCACCTGTCCTAATCTAAGCATACAAAATAATACGAGAAAGTAAAGGCGACAAGGGTTTATGCCCATTACAAAACAAGAATACACAATAAAATAAAGAAAAGGTCTTCTAGTCCATTTCTTCAAATTTTTCAATATTCGTGGCGTTTGACTTGCGCATCTTTGCATCGATGGGTTGACTTGACAAACCATTTCCGAGCCTTCATGGCTCTCCCAAGACGCAAGGATAAAATGGAGTCCAAAATGGACACGAGAGAAAGTTTCCCGTGCAACAAAGTAGAAATAAATTAGCATATGAGCGATAATGCAAATCCAATATATATTTCGAATGAAAAAAAAACAACAAACGGAAAATAAAGACAATAACTTCACAAGAAAAGTAAATGAAACTCAAATTTTAAAATCAACCAAATTTAGTAAACTGACCAAACCTAAACAATAGCCACTTAAACTCGTCATCTAAACAAACCTAACACTAAAACTAACAATAAGCAAACGAGAATCATTAAATCTATGATATACAAAAACACTAGCTAATTGCCAACCAAATTGTGAAAGGCATCCCACAGAAAATAACTTGACTGCATTGTTATTCGAAGTTTGTATTCCGTTAACATAGAAAAAATCATCAAAGTTAATATCACATAAACAAAGATAAGCGCACACTGTGAATAAACTTTATCCTTAAAATGACATGAGCAAATCCGAGAGAACAACACGACATACATCATGATTTATGACTAGAACTTGAACTACAAGTAGACCACATGATTGTTAACCCAAGTGGAAACAACATATACTCAAACAAATATCGAGGCCACTACTTAGCATGCCATCAAGAGGAAACTAAAAGATAGCCAAACATGAAGTCAATAACGAGGACATGAATTTGTACAACCGAACTCAATGCTTGAATATTTCGACATAGCTTGACCCCCAGAATTAAGCAAAAAGACAGCAGAGGAAGGGACAACATCACGTTATCAAGCCATAGATCCTCAGAAACAGAACCACCCACGACTAACACAATAAAATCAATGCTGCGATGAACTCGTGAAAGAACAAAATCAACACAAACAGGCGAACACAACGAAGCGAACCATAGTATACGATATTCTCGAGTTTGAACACAACCAACAAACATAATATCTCATATTTACGGCAACACAGGCCACATAACTCAATATTCAAATATTCGCAGATTCCGACCCGAAACGAGACGAACTACCAACCAAATTCGACTAGCAGCGAACCCAATATGCTAAGCGACAATGAAAACGTTTCAAAACGGAAGAAGACAACGAGGTATTAAAAGGCAAAGGGAAGATTACCTGTTGAGGAGCAGCAACAGGGACGACGAGCAGCAATGAGCGACGACTTCAACCGTAAACAAAATCACGAACACCCGAACGATGTCGGAAGCCAATGAATGCTTGAACTGTTCTTCTAAAGCGGACGGATGAAGAAGAAAGTGTCTCCTCGAAAGATTCTTATCTCTCTTGGGATGGAAACTATCTCCATTTACTACCCTGAATCTCCTTTAGTTGTCCCGAAAACCAAACAGAACAAACGTGAAAGTTTTCAAAAATAAAATTCTTAAACTTCCGTATCCTTAACTCTCACCTTTTAGATCTCAATTATCCAACTCTCTATAACCTCTCTAGTTCAGGCGACAAAAACAAGGAAAAAAAAAGAACTTCAGCCAACGATTTCTCAATCCTCCAAATTCTTTTTTAAACTCAAGAATGTCCAACTTCTATTCTTAAAATGGAGGATGTTTATATAGAGGAAGAAAATTAGGGTTTTCGGAAGAGGAAGGGCAGGAAATTTCAGGCCCATTTCGAATTCAAATTTGAAATTCGAAATCCTTTCCATTAATGGAGCGACACCCTTTTTCTGAAAATTGGCTCCATTCCGGAAATGGAAAGGAGGGAAGGATGGTCGAGATGAGTTCGGGCGTCCTTGGCAGCTACGTGGCATCATCTCTTGTCTCAAGGACGAACACGCAGGTCTGCTCTTGACAAAAAGTACTGCGCAAGAGCATAACGAGACAGGGGGGAAGACGTTGCCAAGGCTGTACGCCTGTTTTCGCGTGGAGAAGGGGTCGCATGGGCATTACGAGGGAAGGGAGATGAGAGGGGGAGTTATGCGTGAGGGATACGCAGGTGGAGGAGAGGGGGATTTCCAATTTTGGGAGTCTGTTCTTCTGCGTTTCTTCTGTTCTTTTCTGGGTTTTCTGGTGTGGTGCTAGGGATACGAGGGAAGGGAGGAGGAGAGAAAGGGAGAGAGCGTGGGGGGAGACGCTTTGGGTCTGGAAATCGCGTCTGTTTTCTGGGGGATTTTTGTTTGTTTCTGAAAATGGCGTGATGAAGGGGGGGGGGGGAAGAAGGGGAGGTCGGGAATTTGGGTAGAGGTGTTGGGCTTGGGAATTCAATTGGTGTTGAGGGGAATTAATTGGGTTGAGGGGAACTAAAGAATGGGCTGAAAGAGCAAAAGGGAAGGGGCCCAAATTTGTTTCTTACAAATAAAAAATGGAAAAAGAATTCAATTTAAATAATATCCCATTGATTTAAAACAAAATGAATTTGGTGTAAATTCATCAACGAGCTTATTTATTTAGTAACATAATTATTTAAATTGTAAAAAATAGTGCTTCAAAGGTATAATTATAATTTAGATTAAACTAGTTTAATAAAACATTGAAATGTATTTTGATGGTTTTTTGAATAATCATAAGATATACTAATTATATACATAATTATGCGAGAAATATATTATCGAAAATTACGTTAAAACGCATTCGAAGCAACATAAAGTTCATGTATTATATTATATTCGTAAAATCTATAAAACTAATTAATTTAAAATATTTGGAAAATTTAGGAAGCTCGATAATTAATTTACCAACGTGGTCAAAATTGGGTGTCAACAACTGTCCCTCATTTTTTCTTGGGTTGATGCAAGCAACTCGAGGAAAATGAAATTGACCGGACCATTTTGGCCAACTCCATTCGCCCTTTTTTTTAAAGAAGGATTCGACAAAGGGTTTAGGAATTATGGCCGAACCCTTGAAATGGGTTACCTACATATCTCAGGCTATATGAGAATTCAGGTCACTTGTAATTCGATAAGCTTGATTTATCGCATGATTTTGGAAGAATCGAAGGCCACCTCGACACCGAATTATGAAGGTGCCGAAATGCTCGAGAATAGAATTCGAGAGAGAATATTGGGATACAACCGAGTTTCAATATTGAATCCGCCTACATATCCTTAGACCTTCGGAATCAGGCTGTGTGTAGTTCGACTCAATCGATGGAAAAGGAAATCTATTATGGTAGATAACCTTCGATTTTGGAAGAGTGACACATTAACGAGTATGAAAAGGAGGCTTGTAACCTCTTAGCTATGAATGTGGAGCTCTTCCCATCCATAGGTAAGAACTTACACAGACATAATTTCCAAAGCTCTTGGTGAGTTGTCACTCAGATTGGAACTGACAGAACTAAAGAAAGACCGACATGCCTCGAGAGGGTGGTTCGATTGTGGTGGAAGTCGCTCCTCTGCTCGCGTCCTAAGAGTTTGACATTTCTCTTCGGACTCTGTCCCAGTTTGCTGCTAAAAAAAAGTTCCACGTTGTGCTGCATCATTTTTGATGTCGTACGCACCTGTGGTTTTTAGAGAATTCATCCTTTTCGGATGCTCCCGACAAAGACTGAGATAAAACTTGTCAGCTTAAAAATGCAATTCGGATGGGAGAAAATGTCTTTTTACCGTGCTGACACTTCATTGTTCTTCTAAAATCGACGTTGACTCGATCGGTCTGGCGTCCAGCAAACAAAACTTATGTCTTGTGTTTTGCAATAATATCTTCTGTGTACTCTTCATTTGATGCTAAAATAAATAAATAGACGTTGATGCGATGTTGATGTCTCTTTTGTCGTTCTCTTCGATGCTCTTCTTGATGTCTAATTTTATAATAAATAACAAAATGCAATCGAGGCTAATGGATAAGTCTTGCTCTTTCTTTATCTGTGTATGTCCTCTTGCGGGGAATGAATATCTTCCCACGATACATAAATTTTTGTGAGGCATGAATCTTCTCGCGATGTATAAATTTTGACGAGGCACGAAATCTTCTCGTCGTGCATAATTGTTGACTCGTAATGCATGATTTTCTGCAATGCATGACTTTTTCGCGATGCATGATTTTTCAACGAGGCATGGATCTTTCTCGTGATGCACAAATTTTAGCGAGGTACAAATTCTTCTCGCGATGTCTAAATTTCGGCGAGGTATGATATCTTCTCGCGATGTATAAATTTTGACAAAGCATGAAATCTTCTCATCGTGCATAATTGTGAACTCGCAATGCATGATTTTGCGATGCATGATTTCCGCGATGCATGATTTTCAACGAGGTATGGATCCTTCTCGTGATGCACAAATTCCAGCGAGGTACAAATTCTTCTCGCGATGTCTAAATTTCAGCGAGGCATGAAATCTCCTCGCGAAGTATAAATTTTGACGAGGCATGAAGTCTTCTCGTCATGCATAATTGTTGACTCGCAATGCATGATTTCCCCAATGCATGACTTTTCCGCGATGCATGATTTTCAACGAGGCATGGATCCTTCTCGTGATGCACAAATTCTAGCGAGGTATAAGTTCTTCTCGCAATGTCTAAATTTAAGCGAGGTATGAAGTCTTCTCGCGAAGTATAAATTTTGACGAGGAATGAAATCTTCTCATCGTGCATAATTGTTAACTCGCAATGCATGGTTTTTCCGCGATGCATGATTTCCGCAATGCATGATTTCTGTAGTATGACTTTCGCGATGCATGATTTCCGCGATGCATGATTTCCACAATGCATGATTTCTGCAGTATGACTTTCGCGATGAATGATTTCCGCGACGCATGATTCCGCAATGCATGATCTCTGCGATGTATGATTTTTCAGCAGCGTATGACTTCCGCGATGCATGAATATTCATACCGTCTCTATTGGTGATAACGGCAATACGATCTCCAAATAATATATCCACTTGATCGATAATAACAAATAATAATAAAATAACTATCTCTTCTGGGGCAATGCATTGTCTTGATTGACATTAATCATCTCGTTTTGGTAATGCAAGTAGCGTCCTCTACAGAAATCATGAAGTCTTTGTCGAGATTCCTGTTTGATTCACCTTTGAATCTGGCCCGACACTTTGCAAATTTCACATTGTTGAGAATGGTTTGAAATAAACAAACACATTCACAAGCATCTTGACACAAACTATATGAACTGCCTCCTACTTTTAGTAAGATCACTGATTTTGGAGATAGTTTTCTCCTCTTCGGGAGCTCTCTGTATTCATCCGTTGGGATAATTCGGCCGATCTCAAAGCTAAACTATAAACCTGCATCCACAGAAAAATTGTCAGTTTTAAAACATACTAATCTGTGTCGATTCCTTCAGTTGTTTGTTCCTGGTCTTGATATCTCCGGTTGATTTCCCGATTTCCCGACTCTTGATGGATAAGAAAAGATATCATACGCCAAAACAAATGAAACATAAGAGGGAAATTTTTTTAAAAAGAAATGAGAAATCTTTAAGAAATAGCATGTTGAAAAAGTCGCTGCCAAGTCATGTCATCAGGCTTTACGAGCTCCTTTGAATCTGACACTTGCTGATGAGCTTCAGAGGCATTCCGGACTTGTAGGGAAGACCCATGACGAAATTTTGAGGCCATCCTCAAAATTTCTGTCCCAGTTTACTATCTTGCTCATCTTTCCATTGCAACCGAACAGATCGCGGAATTTTTGAGATCTTCTCAAAAATTCTGTCCCAGTCGCAAATCTCGAAATTTCTTTTGTCTGACTTGCTGAAGAGGAGACTTCTTCTGGAGAATTTTTGAGTCCCTCTCAAAAATTCTGTCCCTGTTCTACTGTAAAGGGGAATAGAAATCTTACGAGAGATATGACCGAGCCCTTGTGGCGCCTACGTATCCCGTTGAGGCAGGAATCAGGTCAAACGTAGTTCCCCTTAAATGTTAACAAGAATAAAATTTACAAAGAAACCGACTGAGGCCGACAAAGGCCGCCTACGTATCTCATTCTTGAGAATTCAGGTTGAACGTAGTTCAAATACAAATAAATGATTAAAGGGGGTAAATGGGGTGACCGAAGCCGACACAGGCCGCCTACGTATCTCGTTCTCGAGAATTCAGGTCAGACGTAGTTCGTTACAAGAGGGATAATAATTCAAATCGAACAAATACAAGCAAACAGAACGATTACAAGTAAATGAAAGAAAAATGTAAAGCGAAACTTCGCGCATAGTATCTCTTGACAGCATCTGAGTTGATAGGCTTGGGCCATACAGTGCCATCCATCTCGGACAGGACCAAAGCACCTCCAGATAGTACTTTACGAACCATGTAAGTACCTTGCCAGTTTGGTGCTAACTTCCCTTTGTATTCATTTTGATGAGGTAAAATATGCATAAGAACCAACTGACAAACTTCAAAATTTCTGGCTCTTACACTTTTGTGAAAAGCGCGAGTCATTCTCTGTCTATACAACTAGCCATGGCAAACGACGACCATTCTCTTCTCATCGATCAAAGCTAGTTGATCAATCCGTTTGCTAACCCACTCAGCGTTGTTTAAATCAGCCTCTTGGATGATCCTTAATGACGGTATCTCGACTTCAACAGGCACAACTGCCTCTATTCCATATACCAGCAAGTATGGAGTAGCCCCAGTCGATGTTCTGACCGTCGTTCGATAACCCAGTAGAGCATATGGAAACATTTCATGCCAACCTCGCTGTTTGTCAATCATTTTCCTCAGAATCTTTTTGATGTTCTTGTTGGCGGCCTCTACAGCTCTGTTCATTTGGAAGCGATAAGCAGTTGACCTGCGATGAACAATCTTAAATTGTTCACATATCTCTTTCATCAAATGGCTGTTGAGATTTGCACCGTTATCGGTAATAATGGATTCTGGAACCCCAAATCTACATATAAGATTGTTGCGGACAAAATCGGCCACCATTTTCTTGGTTACTGACTTGTAAGAGGCTGCTTCCACCCACTTGGTGAAATAATCAATGGCAACCAAAATGAATCTGTGTCCATTAGAAGCGGCTGGCTCTATAGGACCGATGACATCCATTCCCCAAGCTACAAATGGCCAAGGTGAACTCATAGCATTAAGTTCGTGAGGCGGAACCTGTATCAAATCACCGTGCACTTGACAATTGTGGCATTTTTGCAAAAATTTGCAACAGTCGTTCTCCATAGTCATCCAGAAATAACCGGCTCGGAGGACCTTTCTTGCCAAGGTAAGCCCATTCATATGTGTACCACAAAC